CTCTCGCGCGACACCGACGCAGGCGTTTTGCTCCAGGTTATTTCTCGTAGGGCAGGAGAGTGTTCAGTTGGACTTTGTTCACTGCCCTCACTTCTCAAGGTGCTGCTTGCCACAACCCTGGCTTGGTGTGTGAACAAATCCAATATGAAACTTCTGTGCATCTTTTCTGTTGGGAAATACTCTGCCGTGGTCCCAGAGACCAGGTGAGGAGGATGTCTGGGGGGTTTCTCCTGCAGTGCTACAGGGGAGCTGGTACAGACACGGGGAAATGGGACAGTATTTGTGACTTCTCTCGAGTGAAATGGTGTCCTGATGTTTTTAACACATGTAAATAACAAATACGTTGTAAGGTGTGAAGCGAAAGGAAACGTATCTGGGAGAAAGGACCTGAAATGTTTACTTTTATTTTTATTTTGTGGCCTGAGGTTGCCACTTGGAAAGGTCATATTGGATATTAGGAGAAACTTCTTTGCAATTAAGGTGGTGCAGCACTGTAAGAGGGCATGGAGAAGGGCAGAGGGATCTCCATCCTTGGGGCATTCAGCACTGAGCTGGACAAAGCTACGGCTGAGCTCCTCCACTGCTACAGTCCCACTTCAAGAGGGAGGTTGGATTAAGTGGTGTGCTGAGGTCCCTTTCAACCACCCTCTCATCTGCTAAAAGCATCGTTGAGCAGAATGGCACACCAGCACGTTTTGTGGGCCAGAAGAGCTACAGCAGATGGGAGTTTGTGCCATGAGCCAGAAGTTTCTCAGACCAGAGGGGAGCGTTGCGTCCCTGCGTCCTGCAGCCACATCGCTCGTGTAACGGTACTGTCAGTACATCATTTTGTCATATTTGCTGATGTTAGTTATATTTCCAGAAAGGGAAGGGACTGACTCATTGGCATAGCAGGCAGGTCATGGCTTTCCCGTGAATCATTTGGTCTTGCCAAGGAATGGCTTATTGATTAGAAATTGTTTCCGTGGCTATTGAGGGGGGGAAAAATAGAAAAATATATCCTGGTGTCCAGAGTGAGCAGAGGGGCAAGCAAGATCTTCTGCATGGTGCAGGCTTCTTCAGTTCTTTTCTGCATCAGCATTAGCAGCATGATATAATGATCTTAATGAATTTTTGCTTCTAGGTGGAGACTGCTTTTATTTTGAGTTTTCAGATAATGGTAACCTCTGTTTGTAGTAAAAAGTTGTTGTGTATGTTTAGGAGAAGCTGTTAGAGAAAGTTCAGGGATCTTTGCACACTCGGTCCATGCTTCTGATGTGACCATCCCTAAGTCACTCATGTGGGGGCAAATGCTTTACAATTAAAAATTAGAAAGCAAATTGAAAATTGCTGTTTCTCTTGAGTGCCTGGATGTTAAAACCTGAAGTTAGTTTTTAGCTTGCCCTGGAAGAAATTATACCACAATCAAGCAGGTAATGCAGCTCCCCACTGTGCTTCTAGGTAAAATTTCTGACAGGGAGAACATAAAATTGTTATGTTTAGCAAGTTGAAAGAAGGAGAAATTTTCTGTTTGACATCTAAGCTATTTTTTTAAGAAGCTTGTGCATGTTCTGTTTGGTTGATTTTGTTTGTTTTACTTTTGAACTGAGTAGAAACTCACTATATTCCTTGTATGAATGTTTTAGCTTTAAATATTAGGATGGGCTATAGTTTATTCCATAAAGAGGTGTGAGCCAAAGCATCTTACACTTCTCCTCTGGTTTTCTTTGCAGTAGACCTCAGGAAGAACAAAGCAGGCAATATGAAATTCAACTACCTTTTTTTTTTTTCCCCCTTTTCTTTTTAAGACAGAAACCAGCTGCCTCTGACACTTTCATTTTTTTAATTTGCTTTCCTGTAGAAACACATCTTATATATGGGGGGAGAGATGCTGAGGAGTTGGCAGTTCCCCCAAAGCCCTATTCTAGTTTTCCATGATATTGATTTTGATTTTCTGGAACACAAGGGATGCACACGCCGTAGTCCACAGTCCATCAGAAGTTTTTTCCAGCTTAGTTGGTCTGAAAGTTGGTACTTTTTCTCCATCCTCCTTGAAGATTTCCTCCTTTTGTGAAATCTATAAAAATTACATTATAAATTATAAAAAGATCAGACCGTGCCATGGCATTTGTCTTATAAATTCCCAGTTAACTAAGAGGCGGAGAGGGAAGGGGAAACACACATGGGAACCAGCTTCCTGCAGTTGGCAAATTGCAACAAATTTTAAACGATAACTTTTATATTTTTAAGAGTTGACATCAAGTGTTCAAAATGACTTTTTAAACTTCTGATTGCAGAGATTGGCGCTGTATGTCTCTTCGATTTCTCCTTAACAATACGTGATTTATAACCAATCATCCCAGTAGCTTTTGCAGTGGGTCAAAAGCAAACCAAAACCAACCCCCAGCAAAAAGGAGCAGAAAAATGAACTTGTTTTTCCCAGAGCTGGTTTCTGCAAGGAATGAAATTTTGCAAACATCAAAACAGCGTTTTCCTTGAATATTTTGCATTTCATTGCATTTAATTTCTGCTCTTTACATTTGTCTCCAAGTAGTTCAGCAGCTGTTTAGCACCTGTTTTCACTCCTCTTCAGCATCCCCTTGTCTTTGCTGTGAGGCACTGCTCAAACGTGTTCCTAGCAAGAGGAGTTGTTGACGTGTTCATTCGGCGCCGTCGTTTTCCTGCCACCCTGGAAGGTTTTTAAGTGTGTGTTCACTGAAACGTGGAGCGCTGCTGAGGAACATTTTTGCTACTTGGCTTCGTCTGATGGTCTGGTTCTACAGGGATGAGTTTGTTTACTTACTTCTGGAGGTGACACTGAAATCCGTGAGAGTTGACCCTTGAGATGAGACTTCACATTACTTACAGAGTACAAATATTAGTTTAATCTCCTCGTAGACATCCATAGACTTCGTGACGGGTGCAGTACGCACAAAAAGTGTGTTTTTCTTCATGCTGTGCACATTATTCTGGAGGATTTTTTTTTTTTTTTTTTAGTGCATCCTTCTGAAGCTACATAAAGGTGCTAAATCTTCAGGCTTCAGCTGTGCTGACTGTAACCAAAATGATCAATTCCAACTTAGAGATCTAGATAATATCCAACAAAAACGTTTTCCCTGCACACTCGTTGGAACGGGTAATTACTGCAGCAACTACAGACTAATTTGAAGCGTTGGCTGTTAATTAAAACACTACGGAGGTGTACGGTTGTCTTTTGGTGTAACCAAAGCTCCTATTCAAACTTCATTAATCACTTTACAGTTATTGTGTTGGGGGAAGGTCAGGACAATGGAGATGCCGGATCAGCCCGGAGTAAACAAATTCCTTTCCTCCAGGTAGCATGCCGTTCGCAAAGCCACCGGCCACGCTGTACCCATGGGCACGGCGTCTCCTTTGTGATCCAATTCTCAGCGATAATTAAATGTGAAATTGGTCCTGTCAGTGCTCTGTAAACCAAACCAGGTACCTGCCCTCTGCTGGAAACCTAACCCAAACTTCCACGGATGAATTAGCGTGCATCATAATTAAATAATCAAGTCTTCCCTTTTAATTCGCTTGGAAACAGGAGATCTCTCTTACGGAAAAAAGATCAGCTTTCTTGACAAGCTAATTAAGTTGCCAAACTGTCCGGCACAGTACAGAGTAAGCTAACAGACGTTAAGCATGCTATCTCAACCTGTTCATTTTCTTATCATTTCAGCTCATCTTAGGTCCATAATGTTTTGCCACTCTTGATTCATCCATAGTTACAGCAGAGTTCGTTTACTCCGTTGGATTCATGGATTATGCACTCGGCTGCCCGTCTCTCGGAGCTTCAGCTGATGCCTTTGCTTTTTGCGTGTCGTACCGGTGTTAAATAACACTGATTTTTGGTTTGCCTTTTTCAACCTTGTTTGTTCCTAAAAGCTAATGCCACTCGGGAACATAAATGTTTATCCGTGAGTTATTAAATTAAGGTGAAGTTTTTAGAAACTTCCAAGCTATTAACAGAAATTATGTAAGCGCTATGGGTTATAAATAAGATTAAACAACAGTCTCGCCTTGTGCTATGTATGATCTTGCATGCAAAAAAAACCCCAAAAAACTATTAAAGCTTTTCTTCTTCAGTAGTAATTGCTAGAGGTATATGGTGGTAAAATATTATAATTCTTTAAAGTTAGTGCCACATATATGACATTACTGTGCATAGTGTCATAAATCAGTATGAGACAATAAAACTAGTGAAGAGGAAAACCTTTAATGGTTTTGTTTTTATGCAAAATTACATTGGATTTTTAGTAGACTTTTTTTTTTTTTGCCTACCTTTTCATTTTCTTACGAGTTCATGGTTAGGAATAGACAAGTCATTGTTAAATAGCCAATTATAAATGTTTGTCTTGAGAACAGAAATTAAGACAAACAATTTCAATACTGTGGGAAATTATTTTGGATACAAAAGAGCATTAACAATAATGCCTTCTGACAATACATGTGCACACAGGCAAGCCTTAAATACAAATGCAGAAGTTTCATTTTGCTAATATTTTTGGTGGGTCCTTAGGTTATGATGAGGAATCAGTCATTACCTGGTTTCCTTCCCTTTAATTGATGTAGCTGTGTCTCTCGCTGCCCTACCGCTGAAAATACCCATAGGACTGGCAAACCTGTGTGATAAACTTTGCTTTATGTGAAGATTCTGGATAATGGATAGATCACAATTTTATTTCATTGAAAAAAAAAATGTGAAAGTGGATAAATTCATACTTGTAAGTTTGCTATGGCACGGTGCGAAATTCTTCAAGGTGTAGGTTTTACCTGAAGCATGCAGATGTAAAAACCAGCTAAATGGTTTCACTGTAAGTATCTTCTCGTGATCAATTGTTTTCATCAGTCTTTCTTTAGAAGCACTGTGTAAAATTGGTGGAACTTAATGCATATTAGCTCCAAGTCATTTTCCTGTGAAATTAGTGTATCCATGTTGCACATATGTATAGAGGTAATTTTATGTGATCTCAAGTTATTTTGTTTTTTCCCTCGTGCAGGGCATATCATGTCCCTAGTGGAAAAATACTAGCAGTGAAGGTAAGATATTACAGTAATTTTCTTTCTCTCTTTCTTTCTCTCCGTTCTTTCTTGACCTTCATTTCCTTCCCCTCCCTCTGATTGTTAGATCTCAGTTTCTTTCATTACATTAAAGTCCACGTAGCTTATGCAGGAGAACTCCAGCCCATAAATTTAGTAAGTCCAAATGAACACAAGAGTTCCCAAAATCCAAATTTCTCCCGCTGGGAATTGCTTGGCCCAGTGTGTCAGTACCACCACGTCTTCCCGTGGGGTCCCACCACCCTGGACGCCGGCGTTGCAGGAGTGGGGATGGACAGGTCGCGGGATGTCAGCCTCTCCCTTCCATTTCCTTTGGGATAATATTCCGTTTTCCTAGGAGATTTTGTGGTTTTAACAGGTTTATTAATTTTAATGTCTTGTCTCCCCCTGCTTGTTTTGAATCCAATTGGTTTGGCTTTTTTTTTTTCTATAGCATTCTTTGCAGTGAAGTTCTATACTGTAGCGTTATGTGGTCAGATGAATATCGGTCTTCTCTGAGGCTCAATTAAAACTGGTGAACTAATAGCACAACTCTGACAAGAGTGTGCCAACTCTCCTATGTTATTTGTTAAATTCAATTACATTTGTAAATTAAATTATTAATATAGTTAATCAAAGCAAAAATGTTGAAATATGTACATTTTTAATGTATCAAACAATTTTTTTAGTTTGGCGATTTTGTTGAAACTCAAAGCAGTAGAAACTGTTGGAAAACAAATAAATTGTTGCGTTCATACAATTCCAATTAATAGTTTAGGATCTGAAGAAAAGGTATATTTAAAAAATATAATTTATGGAATAATTACTTACAAATCTGTAAAATGGGCTTTTTGTCTTATTTCTCTTTTTTCCTGTCTTTATCTAGTCATTAAATTCTGGCATAATTGAGTTAAACCGAAAGAATGTGGGGATGGGAGAGAGGATGACAAGAAATGGAGCTGGTTGCTGCAAGCAGAATTGGTGTTAAATGAAATTTAAAGACATAAGATTATAGTAAGACTTCAAATGAAGTGTTTATATTTACTGGGTAAATTGGATTTGGATTCAGATTGTCTTGTGGTTCCAACCAGCTATAATTGACTAAAATGAGGTTGTGCCTGTGTTTTGGCTTTTCCTGAGGATCATGTAATTCCCTTCGCCCCACCAAGAGAAATGCTTTCGACTTTCCAATGAATGGAAGAAAAGCAAAAGCTTGCTGCTAGGTTTGAAATAATTCTCTACATCTGGAAAATACGAAAATTGAAATACCATCTAATTGTGTGGAGCACAAATAGCGCTCGAAAAAGTTTTTGAAAAAGTCCTTTTGAAAAAGCCCTTTCAAGTGGTATCTGTAATTCCTAAACCTGTTGTGAGCAGGTAGAGTAAGACAGAAATTCTCTGAGTTGTAATAAGCACAAAAGTACAGAAAACTGAACTATTAAAAATAGGTTTTATTACAACTTTCAGTGTGGAACTAAAAAAACTCTTCCCCTGAATGCTGGGGTTTGTGTGAGGATTCTGCTTTTCCCTGGTACCCACTACGTTGCATCCTCAAATAATCCTTTTCCAAGGTCTGCAGAGAGCATCTTGTGCCAGCTCTGCTCGGCGTTGGCATTGCTGCTCTCCAACCCTCCCCGCGGGGCGGTGGGTGCCCTCAGAAGGTGCCTGGAGAGGAGATGGAGCAAGAGAAAAATCACACAGGCAGGAGGGGAAGCAAGTTCACCCTTTGCAAGGTTAATTGAAATCACCTCCCTGTGGCAAAAAGCCTTTTCCCCCAGCAAGTTCACCTCCTTTTTTCCTTCCGAGTCCACGGGTTTGGTTAGTCCTGGTGGATAATTAACATCCTGAAGATTTGGGAAATTGGGTTCTCGTGCAGATACTGCTTATGGTGGTCCTTTGAAATTGTTGCTCTCAATTATATTTATTTCTTTAGTGTGGTTTCAGAGGAAATACTGCACCAACACGTGGGTGTTACCGTAGTTTAAAATAACGTGTTCACAAACTGGAGGTCGGGAAACCTGCTGTGATAGTGATGGTGCCAGCTTGTTCTATGGAGAAAATGGTTTGCCACAGCTGTGGCCCAGCATACCCAGCACTAAAAAGAGGATGGTAGTGCCAACGTCTTGACAGGATCATCACGGGGATCGGGGGGTTTGATCCACGCTGGTAGGAACATCGCCGGATGGATCTGCGAAAGCAGAGCTCTGCGTTTTAGGGGCTTTTGGGGACAATAATATACAAATTTGATAGGACAAGATCACGTTCTGAAAACCTGTTGATTCAAACGCTTTCAGCTGGTGGATAGTCTCGCAAAGATATTGAACAGGAAAACAAACCAATGCTAATATCAATGGTACAGACCAAAGCTACGTCAGGACATATTCAAGGCCAGGTTGGATGAGGCTTTGGGCAACCTGGTGTAGTGGAGGGTGTCCCTGCCCATGGCAGGGGGGTTGGAACTAGATGATCTTTGAGGTCCCTTCCAACCCAAACCATTCTGTGATTCTATATTTCAATGTAAACTTTACAGCTGGATAACGTGCAGAGGATTAAATAGATTTTGGGGAAGGTAACTTTTTTTTCCAAATTAGAGGGAAAAATCTGAACGAGAAATTGGAGCGTACACTGGCTGGTTGCCATTCTTCAACTGCTTTTAGTTTCTCCTGCTCTTAAGCGAGCATTTAAATGGACCATTTGATTAATCATTTGTATACTGACTATAATACTCCCAAATTTCCTTTGAGTTGTACATACTGTAAAAGACAATTATGTCGCCACAGATTAAATAAGTGAATTAAAACAGAATAGCAGCTTAATTTGACCTGTGATTTTGCTCTCGTTCCCTTCAGTGGAACGTATGCCACTCCAGCAAATAGATGAAGTCATCCATGACAGCTCGTGATGAATTGCCGTATTTATACTGTATATTTTAATAGCCTCACACTAATTTAAATTGAGCACAGAGTAAATTATAATTCAGTCACTTGACTGCTTGTATTTAACTTGACAACTCATCCTTATTTGTCCTGGAGGTGTAGTGGAGAGCAGAGGAAATATGCTCAGGTATTCCTCTTTTAAAAATTAACCCTTTTCGCTTGCAACGTTCGGTGCGTTGAGTTCACATATGTTATGGGATTGCTGTATTTTAGGCAGGCACTTGATAACAAGGATG